AGGAAATGACAAGATCAGATGATTTGATTTCTTTATATAGATTGGGTGTCTGTCCCCAGATGAGTTTTCTGTTGAAACTTGGCTTCTCTGTCCATCGAACTGTCACTGTGAGTTTCTGTTAACTGAACCAGAAATCGACTTGAGTGTTTTGTATATAAGGAGGCTGGTTAAGCAGCATTCCAAAGGCCTGTGTAAAAACAGTATGCATGACTTCCAAACATGTTGAAACTCAGCACAGGTGGTCACATTTCACGTGGTCTGTGTCCCCAAAACAATTAGAAATTGCCTATGAAGGATTACAAAAGAATGACCAAGAGAGGCATCGGCAAGGTGAGAATGATTTCTCAATATCTGAGGCTGGAGGCTGGGTGCGGTGGCTCGTGCCTATAATCCAAGCACTTTGAGAAGCCGAGGTGAGAGGATTGCCCGAGACCAGCCCGGGCAACTTGGTGAGACCTCATCTCTACAATAAATCAAAAAATTAGCTGGGTGTGGTGCCGTAGTTCCAGCTACTTGGAAGACTGAGGCGGAAGGATCACCTGAGCCCAGCAGGTTGAGGCTTTGGTGACTGTGAGCATGTTTTTGAGACTCCGACTCAAAAACAAACAAAAATATCTAAGGCTGGTAAGATAGCTCCCATTTCTTATTAAGATACGGTCACGCATCACTTATTGTTAGGCATATGTTCCGAGAAATGTGTCACTAGGTGATTCTGTCAATGTGTGAACATCAGAGTGGCTGACACAAACCAGATGGTTCAGCCTACTACACACCTTGGCTGTGTGGTATAGACCGTTGCTCTTAGGCTACAAATACAAGTGTTGAATACCATTTGCGGTTGTAACACAATGGTGTTGATGTATCTAAACACAGAAAAGGTACCTTAAAAATACAGTATTAAGATTTTATGCAACCACTGTTTTATATGTAGTCTGTCATTGACCAAAATGTCATGCAGTGTATAGCTATATGTTAAAAGTTCAAATATATGGGGTGTGCCAAAAACATGTATACACATTTTAAGAGATGTTATCTATGTTTTACTTTAAGTTCACCATAATCAGAAGTGTCTGGACACTGATGACCACTTTGAGCACCTCTTGTAATTGCAGAAGTCAAACGTGACTTGCATTCCTCTTGTTATTGGTATAGATGGAGAATTACAATTTCAATACAGTTTTTTCCTTTCTTAAAATGTATACACGCTTTCTGTGTAATAGACCTGTTTGTAATTTTATATTTAGATGTAAAATCATCGAAAACATTTTGGATGGTATTTTTTTTTTATAAAGTTATCTTAGGATGGGGGCTGGGTGCGGTGGCTCATGCCTGTAATCCTGGCACTTCGGGAGGCTGAGGTAAGAGGATTGCTTGAGCCCAGGAGTTATAGACCAGCCTGGGCGACATAGTGAGACCTCATCTCTACACAAAGCTTTCAAAAATTTAGCCTGGCATGGTAGTGTGCACCTGTAGTCCCGCTAGTTGGGAGGCAGAGGCGGAAGGATCGCCTAAGCCCAGAAGGTCGAGGCGATGTGTGAGCAATAAGTGTGCCACTGCACTGCAACCTGGGCGGCAGAGTTCTCGAGACCCTGACTCAAATAAAGACAAAAAGGATGGGATCGTGAATTTCCTTCAGTCAGCAAGTGAAGAAGCCCTCTGGCATAAGGGCTTTGTAACAGGGGTGCTGTCTTTGTCAGGTTCAAAGATGTCCTGAGAGAGAGCATTTGAGGCCTGGCAGGTTTTCAGCAGGGAGACAGGTTCCTCTTTCTCCTCTAGGTCCTCCTCGGCCATTCTCAAGGTCAGCTCAGGGTCTGGAACTCAGGACATTGCTTTCAAGATGGGGAAGGGGGCCGGGTGGGGTGGCTCAGCCTGTAATCCCACGCCTTGGGAGCCTGAGGCGAGTGAATTGCCTGAGCCCGTGGGTTCGAGACCCGCCTGGACAACTAGGTGAGACCTCATCTCTACAATAAATCAAAAATTAGCCGGGTGTGGTAGCGCACGCCTGTAGTTCCAGCTACTTGGAAGTCTGAGGCAGAAGGATCGCCGGA